CAGGGATGTCACTTGATTGGCCAGGGGGGCATGGCCAGCTCGACATCACTCATGTCGGGGGCACCTGTGGTGACCCAAGTGCTAAGGCAGGACTTCCCTCCCTCTTATTATAATCTTCTTTCCTTCCTTTTCTTCTTCCTTCTCTCTCCTTATTTTTTCTTCCTTGCTATCTTCCCATCTTTTTCTTTCTTTTCTCTTTCCATTTCTCCTTTCCTATCCCTTTTGCATGCTCAAATGCAAAAGGGGAAACATTTCTCCTGTTGTTTTTAGTTTGTTTAGATAGCCCTCTGCCAGCAAAAACTAAGCCGGGGGGGTGGTGGCTGCGAGCCGCCCTCCCAAGCTCTTGTTTTCACTGGCAGAGGCACCGTGGGCAGGACCTTCGCTGTTTCCAGGGGAGGCCCGCAGACCAGATCTAAGCACCCCGCGGGCCAGATATGGCCCTCAGGCCTTGAGTTTAACACCCCTGTCATACACCTTTAATGTTAAAAAAAAAAGGTTAGAAGAAAATGGAGGTAATTTTGATATATCAACATATTTACTGATTAGGTTGGATACTTACAGAAATATGTCCGCAGAAATTAAAACTAAAGGAGAGCTGTCTCTCTCCCTCACCCTCTTTCTAAACAAATAAATTATAATTTGGTTGGCTTGTTTACATATTATATGAATAAAGTCATTGAATAAACTTTGGTTTCTGTTAAAGTCATAAGCCACAATATAAAAACATGATTGTTTGTTAAATTACTGATTGAAAGTATGACTTAGCAAATGGGAAGTGGGTTTTTTGTTTCTGATGTATTGTGGTTAGTGTTTCTGCTCTATCCAAACCTTAATCAGAATTTCTCATTTTGGCCGGGAAATTCTGGGAGGAGTTAAAAGTCCACAGATCTTAAATTGACAAGGTTAGGAAACACTGGTCTAAACATCCCCAGAAAAATATGCCTCTTGATTTCTTTCCATAATTTGGTTGGGTTTTTTAAGGCATAGGACATACTTGATTCTATTTTGGTTTGCTGTTTGTTTGTTATCCAGAGTCATATGGTCTGGGTAATTTTTAAATACTGTTAACTAAACATCTGGATAAGATGAGTAAGAAAAGAGAAATAGTGTCTAAATAAGCTGTCAAATGGTAAGAGGTAGTCATGAACTGAAACTAGTGAAGCAGGAAATATGGGGATTGTTCAAACATGATAGCATAATCTGAATCAAATCTGAGAGCCTGTTAAGCGAAACACGGAACCAGTGGAGATACAGTATGTTTTTCATATGTTTACCATTTGCTGGGTGAACTCGGGTAACAGTTCTGTAATAATGATACCCCCTCAGTGGCATCATTTTTCCCTTAATGAAAAGGCTACTTTATCTGGGCTGCCAAAATTCAGATGTTGCATGGTCGCATGTTTTGCTACCCAGATATTGCATTGGTTGTATTGATTGCTATTTAAAAGAAAACCAGATATCTAAAGATAGAAACCCTGAGGGGAGGGGAAGGTTTTCTTTTTTCTTTGCAATCCGTTATCTTTATATATTCAATATAAGACTTCTAGTGTATCTAAGAAGTAGCTGTCTAGATCCTTGCTATAGATACAACATGATGATTTGGCAAACTATTACTATATCTGCAGTTAATATTGCTGTCTTTCTGAAACAATCAAGCATTTATTTCACAAATCCAGGATGTCTGTGTAGAATTTCAGTATTTTTGATATTAAGTCTTCCTTGGATTGAATTATCATTGGAAAATGCTTTTTGTTGCTGTGCTTTTCTTTGTGATAATAAACGTAGCATTTTCTGTGAAGTAGAAGATTTTGCATTTTGACTGTTCTAGTTTTGACCTTACTTTATCTGAGATAATAAAGCATAGATTAAGGAGTTGCTATGTTAAGGTTTAGAGCCGGAAATTGACTATGGAGAAGGAAAAAATTCAAGGCCAATCAGGAAGCAAAATCATAACTATAAAATCCTTGAACATTATCTAATCTCTGTGTATAATCCCTTCCTCTATCTCTCACACTATTTCTTTATTATATTCTGTTAGATAAGTAGAATCACTATTATATTGAAAGTTCTAATATTATTAGCCTTTTGGCTAAAAATATCCAAGAATAATGGGTTAATAATAATAACAAACCTTAAATGCTAGGGCAGCAGCAGAATGATTAGAAAATGAGAATAGTTTTTTTTTCCTTAAAAGTTTTCGTACATGAAGATTTTAGAGAATTTAAACAAAGGATCAGTCAAACAAGGAAGAAATTTGTGATTTTAATTTTTTTCCCTTATAGTGGTAAAATAATGTTACATTATCATTTCTTTTAGTTCCCTTAATCTGATTATATGTGCTCTCTACCTAAATTATAAAAATAATTTAAGCATCTTTATGATGCTGCCATCTGTGTATTTATGTGGGGTTCTCTCCCCCCCCCTTTCATTTTGTTCACTCTATAACACTCAAAGCATTAAGTTCATCAGGGTATTTTCTGCTACAATTCTTTCTCAATGAACATTAAAAGAATTTTTTTTTCTAAGCACTCAGTGTTGTAACAACATTACAATTCTAGTGAAACTGTTAATCCTTAAATCCATTCTTCTATAGCATTAAGTAGATTTATTTTAACCCCCTCATGACATAGATTTTGCAAAATAGAAAGCACATACGGAAAATATAGTTAACATTTCAACTTTACAAAATCTACAAGTGAATACCTTTTCAGGTTAAAAGTTCTTGAATACTTAAAAATTTTTTAATGAAAAAGTACTTTATTATATGCTATTACTCTCAAATAAGAATAAGACCTGAATAAGTGATCAACTCAAGGTGATTCTAGGCAACTTACAGAAAGGTCAACAAAACCTAACAAAAAGAATGCAAACTACAATTTATAAATAGACAAATAGGAATAAAATAGGAATCCAGACAGAAATGCAACCATCATTCAGTAAGGCCACGACATACAACAACACATTTCCAATATTTTTCAGGGAAAAAGCCAGATCCTCACAGTGTCTATGGAGATTCTCAGTCATCCAGGTCATGGTTGTCCCAAAGGTGCTTGTTCAAGAGGCAACTGGAAGTTCTTGTTTTTCTTTGAAGACATTTTGGATCTCATCCAAGAATTTTCTTTAGCTCTGATCCTTACATCCTTTCTAATAGCTGGCAGAATTGGGACCAATCATACATTGAAACAAAGATTGTTCCATAAGATAGGTTCCACTATGTAGGAGGCAGGCCACATGCATCCAAAGATGGCATTGTTTGAGTGAAGGAACCCAGAGAACACCTTTCCTGTCAGAGCATGTGAGAGAACCAGATAACCTGAAAAGAAGGTGGTCCCTCAAGTAGGGCTTTAAAATGATAAATAGCATCTCGATTTATACCCAGAAACAGGATGGATAAACATTGATGGTTATTTTTTTTAAAGAAATTAAAAATCCGATTTTTTTTTATTTAAATCAGATTTTTTTTTATTTAAATCAGATTTTTTTTATTTTTATCAAATTTATTTTAATAAAATACTTTTGGAGTAAAAATCTAAAGATAGTTTTCTATTTAAGATACATTAATAATTTAGTTTATTCAGCATGAAATAGAGCTTAGTTATGTAGCATGAGGCTGTATATTCTGCAATATTGGGACTGTCAGTCAACAGCAGGTCAGAGGAGGAGCTGCTGCACGACAGAGATGACAGTTGCTCTTTAAAGATTATTATTTAAATCGAGTTGATTTAAATCAAGCCTTTTTATTAGTAATTTTAATCATTTAAATCAACTTAATTTAAATCAAATCCACTATGCTAGCCAATACAGCATGTTGAGTAGTAGTATGTGAGCATAGCAAAAAGTACTATAACTACCTGCATTGCGGTATTCTGGACCAGCTATAGCTGGTGTTCAAGGCAGTCCCATGTAGAATCACTGCAATGATCCAATGGAGAGATTTATTTATTTATTCATTTAGTGTATGGCATCTGCAGAAGTCATGCAATAACTGGTATACAAATTATATAAATATATAAAGGTATGTGAACAATACAATCTAGGAGATAAAATGTTAAATTAAGATAAAACCATAATAAAATCACCATAATAAGGGGCCACAGAATTGCAATGGGATGAATGTTATAATTTGATATCTAAGGAAGTTAAGTTATTCCCTAGTATGATTTGATTGCTTATTTGTACCCTATGACTATCATTAAGTGTTGCACCTTATGATTCTTAATGAATGTATCTTTTCTTTTTATGTACACTGAGAGTATATGCACCAAAGACAAATTCCTTGTGTGTCCAATCACACTTGGCCAATAAAGAATTGTATTGTATTGTATTAACCATCTAACTGGTTCTGGTGTGGCTGCAATTAGATTATCCCAGGTGCCTTGACATTTCCTGAGGAGACATTCTTGAACTATATCTGTTATGGTTTGTTCTGGAGCACCAGTGTCACAGTGCGGGATCTCTGTCATTCTCCACTTAAAGAGCTTTGCGTTAGTTCTGGCACGGCCTGTATAATTCATTCAGGTGACTCCATATTTTTCAGGGCAACTAAAAATGAAGAAAGAGATTTTGTTGGAACTACTTTCTGAAAACCACAAACTGAAAGTGGTTTTGTTGGATCTGTGTGATCTGTTTGGTTGTGGTTATTAAAAGTTGTCCATCTTAACAGAGCATCTGAAAGTCGATACACATGGCAACCAAACTGGATATTGCATCCCTCACTGTCAAAAACTACATAGCAAGCTATTAGGCTACAGCAGTAAAATTCATTGACAAAAGATATTTAACCCCAATTGGGGGTGACTAAAGATGAATGTAGAGAACCATAGAAACTCCAGAGCCACCAAGAACTCTGTCCATGACAAGGGTCTGGTAATAAAAAGATCAGAGTTTGAAAAAAGTTAAGAAAATCATTGATTTTCTTTCATAATAATGTAGAATGGTTATAATATATTAATTTGTCCTAGATTATAAATTATAAAATGATCTATACTTTATTTTTACAGCTGACATTATCTCAACGGTTGAATTTAATTACTCTGGAGATCTTCTGGCAACAGGAGACAAAGGTGGCAGAGTGGTTATATTTCAAAGGGAACCAGAGGTGAGTGAAAAAGTGGTGTTTCAAACTGTTTTATAATGTAATGTTGTAACATAATCAAATGTCATTGTTTATGCTGACACATATCTAAGAATTTTAAAGGTATTTTTATTTAAAATTTAAATTAATGAACTAGGCAAACCAGTAACATTTTTTCCTATGAACATCTTTTATACATAATTATTTTTCAGATTGTTATTTTTAAACAGGTATTACATACATAGAATTTGTGTTTATTTGCAAATAGAAGACTGGGAATAATAGAGTAATTAAAATATATTAAAGAACAAGCATGCATATAGACTTCCTATAATGTCATATGTTGCAAGAAATGTTATAAAGAAGAAGCATGCACAAGGATCTTCTATAATGTCATAGATTTACTATGCGTACATTTGCCTTTGCCTCTGTGTCATACAAGAAAACTTTCCTTTGCATCTCACTAGAGCCAGAGATGTGCAATAAAATTCAAGATACATCTTTATTACAGGATTAAAAAAATATGTGGTCATCTAGATGTTGCTGAAATATTGTTTTGACAGTATTTGCAATTACTACAGACTGTGGTAATATTGTAGTTCAGTGATAACTAGAAAAGTTTTCAGTTCCCCATCCCCAATTTATCTGTTTATAATATTGAAATTAAGAATTAGAGGTTTTGCTCCATCTGATTCATTATAACGTTTAATTTATTAGAATGTATACTATTTGTTTTCTGTTCACACATTTGTTTCCTTGCAGAATAAAAGCCGTCCTCATTCAAGGGGAGAATATAATGTTTACAGTACCTTTCAGAGTCATGAACCTGAGTTTGACTACTTGAAAAGTCTAGAAATTGAGGAAAAAATTAATAAAATTAGGTGGTTACCACAACAGAATGCTGCTCACTTCTTATTATCTACAAATGGTAAATATATTTTATTTACATAATAGTGTTGCACATACTTTAATTGCATGTGATAACTTCCATATTAGTACTTCCTCATTTTTGAATTTCTAATGTAATTGTAATTAACATGTATTTGTATCTGCTCATAAGCATTCAATAGAGCATGTTTCTTGATAAATGACTGTAAGCCTAAATAGAATGTCGGGTTAATGTTTGATGGACTTATCAGTTTGAATTCTAGATTTTCCTACCGTCCTTGAAACATTCAGAATAATATTATATTGAAAATAACCATATTCCTTGTGGGCTGTTCTTGATTGTAGGCTTTTATTTTTTTCCTTAATGGTTCATGAAGTATCTTGTTCCCAGTCAAATTTCCACATGTGCTTAAATTATTCTGATTGCTATATGTTTTGGTTTTGTGCACTTCCCAAGTCATGGAATTTGAAAGAAAGCAACTACAAAATTTATTTCAAGCTAATCTATTTTATTCTTTTTCTCAGAAGCCCATTGTCCCTTGTAACAATTTCATTTCCATACCAAATATGAGGACCGAGTTTATGGGGGCAATAAACTGACTTTGTATAAATATACAAAAGTATGAAGGCTATTGCTTAACGCATTGTAAACCACCCTGAGTCTCCAGAGAAGAGCGGCATATAAATCAAATTAAAAAAAAAAAAATAGCACCCCCTCAACAAAAGCAGAAGTGAATATCTAAATTTGAAATTTCAAATCAGATATTTGCTAGTAGAAAAGCACAATAAAATGTCTATTTTACAGAAAAGAAATTAATGACAAAGTATATACCCTGTAATAAAATTTCTCTTTAAGTTCCCTTTATTCACAAATCCACATCTAAGAAGGAAACCCATTAATATGTTTCACAGAAAAAAAATCATGTTGTATAAAATCATTAAGGAAATCTAGAAACATATACCCCATGTTTACAAGCGTATCTTTAAAAAGCTTCTGCCCTTAAACAAAGTACCACAGCATTAATGGAATACATACTCCTACAAGTAACACAAATCAAAGAATTCTTTGTAGCTGCTATATTTTGAACGTCATTTGAGTACTGCAGGAGAAAGAATGAGTTTAACCAAACCTTTCTTATTCATGTTTTTTGTAATCTAATACCCCTCCACCCATAACTTTTAGGTGCAAAGAAAAAGTCTTTGTGAGGACATGGGTTACCATGGCCTCACCTCTGGTTCCCTAATGTTGTATGGTGCTAGAGAGTGTTCAGTTTGTGCCACCTGCGGCCTTATCTATGGTCGGGGGATTTAAACAGAGAGTTGGTGTGGTTGGGTCACTCAGTCCCTTGACTATGATTTGCCTCCTCTGTTCACCCCATGTAAACACCTTTGACTGATGCTGATATTGCTTCTCATACTGCTGTTACTGGAGCAGCCCAGTATGAGGTGGGTATGTCATGTACTCCACTTGTAACTGGCTCTAATGCTCCTCTGGCTTTTCTGATGCTTCTGGGTTCCAATCCTCTTTTGAAGGATCATTCCATTTCATGTTCACAGCTACTGCTGTTTTGTGCTTCTCTGCTGCATCAAAATTCTTCATCTTATACTATAGCAGAATTTTTAACATTTAGTTGGCATGGTACTGAGATGGAGATGATGGATATTCTAGCTGCATATCACCTACAACTTACTTTGGAACCCCTGACCTCTTTCTGGTGTTTGTGGTTGCCAGTTCATCAATTTAATTTCCATTCATAGTGTGGCCAGGCGCCCACCTGGCTTTGCTTAAAGCTTCTAACTAACAGTTACACTGTCACTTGCTCAGTTACCCTAGCACTGACCTGTATGGTTTAACTGCACATTGTTCCTTTTACTCTGCTAGAGGCATTCCTCCTTCTTGTCCTCTTTAGCCACAAAATGGAGTCAAAAATTGAAAATCGTATATACCATTCATGTCTGCGTAAAACTCTCTTGTCTATAACCTTCAATTGAATGAAATAATACATCACAGGCCAGCAAATGGTCAAAAGTCAAGGATTACCTGAAGCCCTTTTCCTTTGTTGTTCTTTGGCAGCTGTCCTTTAAGTTACATTGCTTGTGCAGAGATTAGTGCCTATTGATAGCCCTGTTTTCCAGGAATTGTCTGTCCTCTGCTGCATTTGAAATTGTATGCATGTTGCTAATTCCTCCCTAATTTATCAAACTAAACCATTTAGTTATTTCATTTAGCCAATATTGTATGCTACAATCCTGGACAAAAGCAGAGTTACAGATTTCACTTATCAAATAAATAATTTGCATAGCTATAAACATTGCAAATGTATGGTTAATCACTGTTGAAATACAGTTATGCACTGATTATAAGCAAAGCTTCAATGTCCTCTATTTTTATAAAATCTAAAATAAATGTTGGACTGGAATCCAAACATTCTGTCAAGTTTGCAATAGAAAGCCCTGCCCAACCCACCAAGTTCTCAAAGAGTGCAAAGTATATGTGGCAGTCCTGCAGAAAAGGAAACATCTCACCCCTAAATTTGGGAAAGAGGCAAGAGACACTTGCTCCAGATTGCAAAATACTGTGTTATTTGTAAGAAGAGGTGAATAATAGGTGATATGTTCAGGTATTTTTAGTAATGTAATGCTTGAAATCTTTCTCCTTTCAGATAAAACTATTAAATTATGGAAAATCAGTGAAAGGGATAAAAGAGCTGAAGGTTATAACTTGAAAGATGAAGATGGACGACTTCGGGATCCATTTAGAATCACAGCGCTACGGGTATTTCTTTAACATTAGTAATAAAATCTGAATAATGTCTGAACCTGTTACGTTGCATTTAAGCCATAAAATATTCATTTCTGAGCTAGAATGCGAAAATATATTTTATTTATTTATTATCCTGGGTAGCACCTCAATTACCAAAGTTTTTTTTTTTTAAATGTATTGTAAAGGGTCACAGAATCAACACCCACAAACATAAATGTAAGAAAAGCTCTCTGAGCTACATTTGGCCCTTAAATCCTATCATATGGCCCTTTCCAACCACAAGTAGAAATTGGCAACAGTTCTGTTCTCTTGGGTGGAAAACAAATGGAAGCATAAATCCTAAATTAGATTTAATAATTCAAAAAGAAAATTCCACCATCCCCTCTCCCAATCTAGGAGAAGAAAAAAACCTAGTTCTCATTATTGCCTTATCTTTCCCCCAATACCTGTATTATACATATGCCCTTTGATCACTAACAGGTTGCCACTGCCTAGTATAAACAATCCTAATCTGGATGGTCTGATTTTGTTTTTCTATATTCCTTTAATGTAGGACTTCGGAAATTCACTGTTCTGCTGCATAAAAAGACTAAAAAAATAATAATTGAAATAACTGATCTTCTATGTTGAATAATATCAGTTGCTTGATGCAGAACATTTTAATGCTATATGAAAGTTAGGTTTCATTTTAGTTTAAGTAATGTATGTCAGTTAATGTAATTATTTTGGAAGATTTTTACTGTGTTAGCTAATTCTTCAATCATAAAGAAGTAAGCTATCTCTGTACTTTATGCAAGATAGTTCCTCCCTCCCTTAACATTTTATGAAGCCCATCTCCCCTTTAAAGCAATTCTAGGCGCCTTTCATTGGCAGGATATATTTTCTCTCCTCAATAGGCAATATTCTTATATTGTCTCTATCTGAAAAGAAGACAACTCTGCCACCCCCACCCCACCCCACCCCAATAATTTACCTGTAAAGTGATAGGAATATCTTGGATTCCCTGACAAGGTAAAGCAGGGGTGTCAAGGTCACGGTGTCATATTGTCACATGACGTATTGTGACTTCCCCCCTTTGCTAAATCGGGTGGGCGTGGCCATCACGTGACACATTCTGCCCGCGGGCTGCGAGTTTAACACTCCGGAGGTAAAGGAAGGAAGGAAAAGACACGTTTCTTCTTCAATTTGCAACAAGGAGGTAGTGAGGTAGATCATCTTAAATTCAGGATTGTCTTCTATTTATTATATCCAGCAATGTTTTTGAGATAATGATGCTTGTAATATTACACCAAGTTGGATGCTAGACGTTGAGCATGTGAAAAGCCCAGATGATGCAGTTTTACAAAGTATATTAATGTAATTATACACAGTGTTATCTTTATAATTTTTAGAAACAAATGGATACACTTTTTTAACAGAGAGTGTTAGCATGCTTGCTTTTTTCTAAATGCTGTTGATACTTCAGACACTTCTTGTTACTAATATTAATAAGATGTGATTACGAGGTATTTTATTCTGAAACTTCTATGGAATGATAGAATTTGCTACTAGAACTCAGTGTTATACTAGGTAACCAGTATTTGCAAAAAAAAATAATAATTATAATATGAATGAGGCAACAGTAGTTTGTGGCGGTATCACCTTTGTAATCATAACCCAGGTTAAAATTGTATACTCACTTCCCTGGAAGTAATTCCATTGAATATATTTCCATGGGGACATAGATTGTACAGTTTGAGCAAGCCACCTTGTAATTAAAACTTTTTAAATGGTTTTTGAAAAGCATTTAGCTTTAAATGCTATCAAACTAATTTGAAGTTTCAAATTAATATCTCTTTCTCAATTTTTAGGTGCCAATATTGAAACCCATGGATCTCATGGTAGAAGCAAGTCCCCGAAGGATATTTGCAAATGCACACACATATCACATAAACTCTATTTCAGTAAATAGTGATCATGAAACATACCTTTCTGCAGATGACCTAAGAATCAACCTGTGGCATTTAGAAATCACAGATAGAAGTTTTAGTATCCTTTTTACGTAAGGAAAAAAATGTATAAATATAATAGAGTGAAATAGTTACTGTTTAATACTTGATTAAGTCTCAGCAGGTGGCAGCACCTGACTGATCTTGTCTGGTCACAGAATCTAAGCAAAACTGCTTAGTATTTAAATTAAGTTAGACGACCAAAGAATCGGGATCTGTAGACTAGAGCAGAAAATCAAAGTACATCCTAAAAGGCAGTGGCATACATTTTTCATGACCCTGCCAAGAAAAGTGACAATTCTTATTGACTTCACTGGGTATATTGCTTTTCTTTACAGCTGGTGCACAGTGGATCACAGAGAAAGCCAAAGAATACCAATGAGAAGTCAGTATCTGCCTCATTGATTACAGAAAGCCTTCAGTTGTGTCACTCATGTCAAGCTGTGGGATGTGCTTAGAAGAATGGAAATCTTGGGAGATCTTGTCCTCATAAAAAAAACTATGAACAGAGCATGTTGAAACAGCTTGAGGTTTGGCAAAGGAGTGAAACAAGGCTGTATACTTTCCCCTTATCTTTTCAGCCTATAGGCTGACTATCCATTAAAGAAAATTGAATTAAAAGATTAAAAGAACAAGGGGGTTTTAAAATGGAGGAAGAAACATTAGTAGCCTGCATTGTGCTTATATCCTACTCTGATAGTCAAAAATGCAAAGGATCTACAAGTTCTAGTAATAAATGTCCAGGAAAATAATGAAAAAGATGGGACTAAAATTAAAGACCAAACTTGATAGTGGGTACAAAAACCAACCTTAGAGTTGACAATGAAGATATCAAAATGTTAAAAATCTTCTGCCTTTTAGGATCCTTTGAAAAGAAAAAGTGAAGGTTTGGGCCACTGACTAGAACTTGGTAGAGCACTCATGAAGGCCTTGGAAAAGTTATTCAAATGATGTGATGTTTTATACTTACAAAGATCAGAATTGTGCAGGTTTTCCTCTGACACTATGGAAACTAAAGTTAGATTTTGAAGACAAAGGTTATTGACAGTTATGATATTTGGTTTTGGAGAAGACTCGTTTGGATACCACAGAGAGCCAAGAAAACAAATGGATCCTCAAACTAATAAATCTAGAGTTCTCACTTGAGCGTGACACACATGACCAGAATTGAATCATCATTTGACCATATTATGCAAAGACCTAGCTTTCTGAGAAGATTCTAATGTTGGAAGGAAAAAAAAGAGGATGGCAACAGAAAGATGGATGGACTTGGCTACAGTAGCAACAAGTGAAAAACTGGAAGACCTGAAGGACCAGTTTAGAGACACATCAATGTGAAATTAACCTTCCTTTGTGATTGCTAATGGAGTCAACACTGACTGGACAACACATAATCATGACTCTTTAAATGTGTTACTGAAAATTCAATGGCTTGACTACACTCAAAGATAGTATGAATTCTTCTGACCCCTTGAACATAAAGTGCGTGTTGGCTTGTTCATAAATTACAAGCTTAATATAAAATATTAACTTTATTTAACGTAATTGTACAGTGAAAGTGAAATTGCAGAACAGCTTAGTTTTGTTACCATGTCCTTGAATCCTACATATCTGAAATGCTAAACAGTTAAAATTATGTCAATAAATAGTAAACATGTTCATAAAGCTGTTCTGAAATTTAAGTGACTGTTTTAGAAACTACATTAAATGCCACAGATAAAGGTTCTGAATGTTGCAACAGAATTTTATTTAAAGATTTCATAATGTTTCTCCTGTGTAAAGTTGGATTTTTGGGATAACCAAATCAATATTAACCTTTACAAGCAACTTTCAGATATTGTAGACATAAAGCCTGCTAATATGGAGGAATTAACAGAAGTGATAACTGCAGCAGAGTTTCATCCTCATCATTGTAATGTGTTTGTCTACAGCAGTAGCAAAGGAACTATTCGGCTCTGTGATATGCGTTCTTCAGCCCTTTGTGATAGGCATTCAAAATGTAAGTAGTTAGGCTTTATAAAGCATATTCGGAACTGTGAATAAGTACTATATAATTGACAGTAAAGAACTTTTCAATATCATTCCTATGGTGAAAGAATTTTAAAGAATAGAAAACCTATTATTTTAGCTCAGGGGTATCAAACTGGCGGCCCACAGGCCGGATGCATCACACGCAGGCCACGCCCACCCCAGGTCAGCAAATGGGAAAAACATTGCAAAATGTAACATGACGGTAATGTGACGTGGCGAGTTTGACACCCATGCTTTAGATAGTTCTTAAGCAAGGCTGAAGTGTAAGACATGACTAATATAATTTAGTTTGCTCATTTATAAAATATAGCTGATCGATTTTTGGCAATCCTATCTTAACTAGGTATTTTTTATAAAAAAAAACCTTAAGTTTCAGTATATTTTTGCTACATCAGTTGGGTTGATAAAACATAACCTTTTAATAATGATCATAGCTAATTTAAGTTGACAGAACAAAATCATCTATTACAAATCTGTTTCCTAATGTGTTGGATTTGAAATAGTATGTAAACATTTCTAAACTCAAAATTAAACATCCCATATCCTGAAGGAATGTCTCAAGGTCATGGTCTTGTTTTGAGTCTGCTAATTTATTTTTTTTTAATATTCAATTGGAAACACTTCCTAATATATTTTAAAAAAGAATTCAGTTGTTAAGGCTGCAATTGTAATTAAGTTTGAGAAATACTAATACTCTTGCAATTTGTAGTTAGATATTGAGAGAAAAAATAATTGTGATATTAGTTTGGGGTTGGACTCTTTTTTTTTCCATCTTTATGCTTATGCATAGTAAGTATTGTTCCTCCTAATCTGGTGCCATTTTAAAAAAAGTGGAAATAGGCTCCTGAGAAGCTTGTACAAATATAGAACTATGAAGTACCTTAATATGCATTCATCTCGCCCCCAGAAACAGTACCCCAAAGTGGCTAGGAATAAAATGCAAATTAAATAACAAAGCTGTTAACAATTATGATGTAAAATTATTTGACGCATGAACAGCATGAGAAATTAGAGAAGGTTATCTATCTTTGGGATGATTTAGGCCAAATTCAGTGGTTTCATGAATGGGTAAAGGCAGATTTTGCACTAACCTTCAATGGAAAATTGTCCGGTCGTGAATGGTATGTCATGACTGCTTCTGCAATAAGGTTCTTGGGAGAGTGTTAGGGCTGGACTGGGGAAGGCTTTGGATCCAATTGTGATCCAGATTCCCTCCATTTTCCAGGCATACTTCTGGAGTGAATGGGAAACTATATCGGCCCCTGGAGCTGATGTAATTACTTGCTTTCCCTTGGGGAATGTAATGGGAAGAGGGTTTTAAAAAAAAAAGACCAATTGGCAAGATAATATTTTTACAAAGGTAAAAGCTGCAACCCTCTCTTCTGCCCTAGCTGGCATGAGCACAGCAGAACTCAGGAAGTGGAGGATCCTCCGGGAAAGATTCTCTTTCCCCCACCTTATTGGATTGGTTTGCCAGGTAGTATCTTGAAGCATTTTAAACTGTTTTCTTGTTATTAGATAACTCTGCTTATGAAAGCCTGAAATGACTGCTTTCATAATTAAATGTAAATAAATAAAAAGCTAGACTTCTCAACCTTTGGTTCAATGTAGTTTCCAGAAACAAAATATGTCATGATTATACATTGATCATTTTTAATAGCTATTTAATATTTAAAGGTTTAGGAGCTCACATTTTGAAAATAATTTGCTTTCTGATTACAACTGTTTTAGAATAAATCATGTGAGCAAACAAGAGGAACTCTTAGGGTTTTATGCAGTTTCCCTGATTGTACTAGTTGATTTTCAGGCCCAAGATGCTTACATTGTATAAAGACTTTTGTACAATGATTGCTAGAAGTTTTCTTCCCATAAACTATATTCTGAGGTACTGTTAGCAGAGGAATTCTTGCAGATCCCATCTTGTATATGTTTAATATCAAGAACTGTTAGTTTTCTTTATCACGGGGATTTATGATATGAAACAACATTTTAAATTAAATGTAGCCCTTTTCTAGTTTAGAAGGGGACATAAAATTTATAATTTTATCCAAGATATTTAGATATGTCCTTATGTTTACTTATTTTTATTTGTTTCTATTTATATGGCTACCACCTCAATCTCGTGATTCAGGGTGGCAAACAACAATTTAAAAGATAAAATAATATCACTGTTTTGTACTTATATTTGGTGAAATATATTTTACTGTTGATTAGTTTAACATTGTTCAAGAGCCTGAAGCCATTGATTGGGAAGAATATTGTTTGTTGAATATTTAAATATAAAGTTTATAAATTGGAGATCAAAGATTAGCAAAAGCAACATTATTTCTGTATAACTAAGGAAATGCCAGTAAAACTCAGAAATTAAGCCGCATTAGGATTAGCAAGGAAAAAATTAAAACTTCAATTTCTTTACTGTTTTTTGAGCACAAATAGTTGTTCATAAACACCTGCTATGGTACCTGTAGAGCTTCTGTAGTGCCCCATCCAATTTGGTTTGTTTGGTTGTTTTAGATTAATAAAATCAATAAATGAGAAACTGGAATATTGCAGATAATCAGATATTTTATCTTTGAAGTATTTTCTGGTCTTAATATACATTATTAGAAAATACAAATATGGAAGAGTGCCATCCTACTCAGAAGTTATGCCAGTCAACTTGTTATGATAGAGAGCATCCCGTAGAGCAAGAGTACCCAACCCCCAGGCTGTGGCCTGTTCTAAGCTGGGCCGTGCAGGTGGCAGGTGAGAGCACATGTGCACAGCATCACTTGCGTGTGCAGTGGGCATTCATTAAGCTCCATTTGCACATGCGTGTGTGTCTGCTGCACAACAGAACCATCTCTTCCACCACCACCACCCGCCCCTCTGGTCAGCCAAGCCAGAAAGGTTGGGTACCGCCACTGTAGAACTGAGATGCTTAAAATCTTTTTATCTTGGGACCCTTTGCCACTTTAAAAAATTATGGTGGATACAAAAGAGGTTCTGTTTCTACATGTTACATTTATCTATATTTATTATATTAAAAATTAAAATTGACACTATTGCTGCTGCCACTTCTCACAATTATTTGATGGGAATTCAATATTGTATTATTTTTCAACTTGTTAGTAATTAATATTCATTTCATGAAACCCTGACAGAGTCTTGAGGGACCCTCAGGATCTTAGGACCACACTTTAACAAATATTAATGTAGAGCAACACATAAGTGTATATGTGTATCCAAAGTCACTTTGGTACCCATTCTAATAGGCAGAGAATGGACATGTCTTTAATTTATTAAATGTACATGCCACCTATCTCATTGTGAAGTTACCCTGGGCTTACAAGCTTTATTTCAGTAACTCTCAAGGCATACTGTCTGGAAATACAGGTAGTCCTCGACTTATAACCACAATTGAACCCAAAATTTATGTTGTTAAGTGAGACATTTGTTAAGTGAGGTTTGCCTCGTTTTACGAAATTTCTTGCCACGGTTGTTAAATGAAGCACTGCAGTTGTTAAATTAGTAACCCGGTTGTTAATCTGGCTTCCCCATTGACTTTGCTTGTCAAAAGGTCAGAAAAGGGGATTACATGACCTTGAGACACTACAAGAGACATAAATATGAACCAATTGCCAAACACCTGAATTTTGATAACATGACCATGGGGAAGCTGCAAAGTTCATAACTGTGAAAAACTCTCATAAGTCACTTTTCAGTGCCGTTGTAACTTTGAACAGTCACTAAATGAACTGTTGTAAGTCAAGGACTATCTGTAGCTGCTTTAGCTAAGCCTACATTTATTGAAAAGGTAACAATGTTCATCTACATAATTATTAATCATTTTCATCCCTATCTTGTAATTTTCAGTCTTTGAGGAGCCTGAAGATCCCAGCAGCAGATCATTCTTTTCAGAAATAATATCTTCAATATCAGATGTAAAATTCAGTCACAGTGGTCGATACATGATGACCCGAGATTATCTTTCAGTTAAAGTATGGGATTTAAATATGGAAAACAGGCCAGTAGAGACCTATCAGGTATAGTGCTCATGCTTTAAAAAAAGAAAAATAGATACTCTGCAATGGAAAACCTTCTCATACTGTTCTGCACTTGTATATTTTAAGGTTCATGAATATCTTCGAAGCAAACTCTGTTCACTGTATGAGAATGATTGCATCTTTGATAAATTTGAATGCTGCTGGAATGGTTCTGATAGGTAAGTCTGGTTTATATACGTCAAAAAATTTCCTGAATATTGAAAATGGTCTAACTGTAGCAAAAATAAGAGAGATACGGTTCACTTTAACATATTTGCAGTATAATAGTGTATTATCCAGAATTTGCTAGTCCATTGAAAAGGCCAACATTTGCAAACCCTGCTCTGCCTCTAAATGATGACATGTGATAGCATGTATAATAGATTAATAAAGGTGCCTCCAGATGTGTATTCATAACCCTGATCCACTTTACAGATCGTTTGATTGGATCTGATTCACCCTTTGAAGTTGTTTTTTTTTTAAATGAGATGAACATTGAAGTATGGTAGATGTTCTGAAGGAGGAGTTAGCAGACTTCTTATGAGAAGGGAACAGAGACCATGTCACTACTTGTCACCATTCCCAAGGGATGTGACTCCCCAGCTATACCCTGAGAGTCAGTGAAACTATTGCCAAAATAAACTAAGGAGCTGCAGGCACCTCTCCCTCTCTTGCTGCCTCTATTTCTTTTGGGGATGTGAGCAAGACGATTTTATGTGGTGAACCACATCCGATCCTTGGGTTGCAGGTTGCCAAACCCTCTTCTAGCAGTTACTAAGTTTGCAAACAACTTCAAGGGATTCCATACAATAATTTTTTGAAATACTTCTATTGTATCTCTTTTAAGTCAAAGATTAAGGACACCGTAGCTGTCTCTAAATTATCAAGAAAAAAAGCCTACTTTTAACCCCATTATTTGCAATATCTTTAAAATGAATAGTTGTGGCCAAGGCCTATTAAAGAACATTGCAACAGCAACTGTATTTAAAGCGTGTCCCAAACCAATGTTAGCCCTGCTTCTCATTTTCCAGCTTTTCTTCTTAAAAGCAGTAAACATCTGTAGCCAACTTAACAGCAGTTAGCATTTAGGAACAAGGACTGTTTTTAGGCTTACCTCCTTTTATTCAGTGTTGAGTGTGAAATTAACTTCAAGCAATTCAATTCAATTCAATTCAATCCTTTGTTGACAAGAATACAGCATGTGTACAAAGAGATTGGCTGAGCCTCCCTTTGTGCACACACACACACACACTGCAACACAATACAACTCATAGTGAAAGACAAAAATAAAATCCCTAGCCCTGTGAATCCTACTAACAAACACTCAGTCCTATTGCACCTGCAATTATTGCAGGTTGCGCCGGCCCCGCAAGTCAATCATACTATGTTGTTGTAGAGTTATTTTTCATTCAGGAATGTGACAGTCCACAGATAAAAACTGTTCTTCAGCCTGTTTGTGCGGCTGCCTATGCTTCTATATCTTCTATAAGCAAATACAATTAAAAGAAATGTTGCCCAAACATGGAAACCATTTCCGCTGACGATAAGGGCAAGAATTTGTCAATCGCTACTAAAAGGCAATTGACAAATACCTATAACTTAGTGCTTCTGCCAATCATAATACTGGCTGAAAAGCTGCTGGGAGAATTTCTTCCAGGCAAAATCAGAGCTACTTCGACCTGCCTCTTCCTCTTCCACTTACCATTGTTCTTAAACTGAACAGTCACCCTTCAGCAGTTCACTCTTTTGCTGTTGCAAGGAGAGGGATTGCTTAACTCACATGAAGGATTTTACAGACTAAGTAGTTGCATAGACCCTCTCTGTAACTATAGCTACCTCCTGATAAACCCTGTTGGCTATGCATTCCAATGGATTTTCCAGTTCTGGAACCAATGAAGTTGTGGCTAAAGAAACTTCAGAAGGAAGCTGTTCGGTTTTAGAATGTAGTGGCAGGATTTCTGGGCTTAGTAACGTCAAGAGAAAGGAGTTGAGGACCAGCCTGATTTATCTTTGCCATTGCCATTCCTATTCCTCTGGCCGAATCTCACCAGAAATGAGTATTGGAGCTAGTAAAAGAGGAGAGCTGCTTTGCTTTGTTTTTATTGCTATGTGTCTATGGATGTACCATAGGAGGAAGGTGCAGTTGTCACATGGATTCCTGTTTCATCCTGCAGACTGAATAGAAAGGGCAATGCTGCTGATCATGATGAAGAGGAAAGAGGTCAAAGGGTATTGAATGATGCTGTACCATTGTCTTGTAAAAAGCATCTCTTCCTTTCTCTGTGCTGAGGAACAGCTATATTTGCAGCTGTTGGCGCAGGTTAAACTATCATGCTTCTTCCTTTAGGTTTTTCCTCTGCTTATAGATGGAAGAGGAATTGCTTCCCTCGTGCCACAATAATATTTCCCACACGTTTGGAAACTAGAGGGATGCCTTTACTGTGTCCAAAATCCACTTGTCTTATTATCTTCCATGTTGCACTGCAACCAGTGTTGCAGCACTTCATGTTGTTATTCAAATTTATGTTTATTTAAAGCACAAATTACGAGCTGCTTGGTGCTTCTGCATTATGTTTATGAGTTTATTTTTACAGTTGCATATTTGATACATTGTAATATAACGAAATAATATCTTAAAAGTTAGCTTTTAAGATATAGCATATAAAGTAGAAACTGCCTCAAATCCAATTGTGCTAGGCTTAAAACAAAAATAAACACATAGAAAACAGGGTTTGTCCTCCTGGGAAGAATGAAAAGAGAGACTGCACATGCTGATATCATAAATGCTCTACTGCAAATGTCAGAAAATTTAAATAAGATTTGGCTGAATTCAAAGAAATAAAAGACATTTTTTAAAAAAATTATTCTCTCTCCTCCATCCCCATAAACCTGTTCAGATTCTAGCAGCAAAACAAGATACAAACAGAGCAGAAATGAAGAGCAGGATTATTTTCCCACCTTAAGAATTCCAATAGGTAGAATTTTCAAAATTCATAAAATTAATTGGCCAGCTTTTGGGTATGAGAGAACCTATTGCACCACTAAACCCCTCCTTTGTGCTGTAAACATAGGAGAACAGAGTTGCAACATTGTTTCAGATCCTCCTAGAGTGAGAAGCATGGAGGGATTTCATTGAATGACTGGCCTTTTTCAGACAGTTCAGCTCACTTCTATCTGGTTCGGTGATTCTGATAAGTGATCTACTTATGTAGAGTGATTTTAATGAATTTTCCATAAATCAAATTGCCTTATTAAAAATCTACGCAGCTTTAAGTGTTTTTAATGTTCTACTGCAAGGCATCTCAAGGTATCTCAATAATGGGCCTAAAGGGCCTAATATAATTCAAACAAATAACGTTGCCATAAGCAGAATTATTGTTATGTGATGAGACATGTTCTTCACGTGGCATGAAATAAATGCCAGGGTCAGTTCCTGTTAGCGGACCAAATAATAATATATATATTAATGGAATGGAATTTTTGAGGCAACGGCTTTAAATACTAGATAGACATATGGCAAATAATAGTTACTGCATATAAAATTTTCAACCTACTGTTTGAAAAATACTGGGCCAGAAATAATAATAAAAGCCTTTATTGTCATTGTACATCATGTATACAACAAAATTGGTTTAGCCTCTACTGGTGCAATCCATAACAGAATAATCTCTCCCTGTTAACCCAGAGAACTGCTGGCAGCCAGAATGGACAGTATTGTCCCAGATAAGCCAGAAAGAGGTTTTAGGAATCTATATTTGAAAGCAATGTATGCAGCAGACCACTTATTTAACCATTTATTTAATGCATTCCATTTTAAACACACGATTCTAGATACATTTAATGCCTCAACACCCAAACTGGCACTATAGAAATGCCACAACAGACCATTAAATAACAGTGGCACAATTTCTCAGATCTATTTTATAAAGAAAAATAGTGATAAGCCTTAAAGGGATTCTGGACATTATTTTAGTTTTTAAGACTTCCCGCCATTCATTCAAAACGGAGAATAGATGACTAATGTTGAGCCCAGACTCTTCTGCCTACATTATCAAAAAATGCTGTTGTATAAAATGGCCTATAAATTGAGGACAACATGAAATATGGCAGTGATATATTAAGGATTGATAGCATCTAGGTAACAGCATAATTGCATAAAATTCAATTTAAACTGAAGAAAACACAGCCACAAAATTGAACATCCTTTAAAAACAAGAGGGAATGTTTAAAGATTACAGCAGTATGACAAAACAGCTGAGTTTGAGAGAGAGAGACCTGATCCGACAGCTACAGTAGTGCTGAACTGCAGTATATCATTATAAAGCTTATAAAAGCCTGGGAGAATAAAAAGTGGTCTTCACCAGGAACTGTATAAAACATTTAACTAGAGTTCAGTTTACATTAAATCTTCCTGGAACTGGCATTCTACAGTTATAGCCAGAGGGGAGGGGGAGGGGAGGTGCTGCTAGCCAAAACTGCATTTTGAGAGGCAGGGGAAAGGATGCCTTCAATTTATTCTATCTCAAGACACAGGTAAATGTTGGTAATCTTTCTAATCCTGATGTCTGTACCCATAAAATGCTCTTAAGAAGTTGTAATTGGCATCATTAGCTATGTTGATAGTATATTTAAAGTGAAGACATCAGCTGTACATTTGGTGACACAAGTGATGAGTGAATAACACCAATCTACAAATCTGATCTCTGAATCAACAATCCACTTCTAGCACAGGTGGAATAATGCATAGCTGATTATTACAATAATCCATACAATAATCAGGCACATTTTCATTGTTATTCCTGGATTTTGTGATATTCTATAAAAATATTTGCATGTACACTATTATTATAGTGTATTCATTAGCAAATTATTATTTTCTCTTAGTTTGTATTATTTGTGATTCTCTTGTAATTGCTTTAACAATTTATTTAAAGACTTCTATTATGTATGTGTGTGTATATAAGTTCTTGTTTAAAAATAAGTGTCAGTCCTATGGCTCTTATCTGACTTAGTGAACAGCAAAGAGAGGGAAATTGGGTGATTATTTAGGTGGACCTTTATAGCAATTATTGTCATCCAGCTGAAATAAATGAGTAAAACATTGTTCTTTCTTTCCTACAGTGCCATTATGACTGGCTCCTATAACAACTTCTTTAGGATGTTTGATCGGAACACACGGCGAGATATTACATTAGAGGCCTCAAGAGAAAGTAGCAAACCTCGAGCCATCTTAAAACCCCGGAAAGTGTGTACAGGTGGCAAAAGAAAGAAAGATGAAATAAGTGTTGACAGTCTGGACTTCAATAAGAAGATCCTTCATACAGCATGGCACCCTGCGGAGAACATCATTGCTGTAGCTGCAACCAATAACTTGTATATATTCCAAGACAAAATTAATTAAAGACGGCTTATTTGAGGACAGAGTTGTCGTCTTGAATAGTTAAGCTCTGTTGTTTATCTGTCAGAGATGGCCTTGTTGTCCTTCCAGTAAAGAACATTGATGCACTTATTTCCCTTTATAGGCAAAGGAGAGAAACTGGCCTGGACTTGAGTTCGTGGTGTATTTCTGCCTTCAGTGAGGGGGGAACATGGAATTGATTTTTGTAAACAAGGAAAGCCCACTGGAAGCAGAATTGATGGACAATACTTAATAAAAGTCAATATTAAAAAAAAATGTATTTATTTAAGTCTGAGCCTCCCTTTCCAGTTGATAGACCAAAAATCTAACACCCAAGAAACAAATTGTCATAAAAATGTAATTTTTATCTCACATGCTCTTTATCTGCTGTAATATTTGGGCCTTTCAGAACATATATTTGTGCTTTATGCCTGTAAACATTCTTTCTCTGGCCTTCATCTAAGCTTTAGGTGTTTCTACCTTTGAGCATATAGGTAAGTCTAGAGTTGGGTGTGTAGACAGGTTTTTCATGTATATTTACTCACCAACTGTATAACCACACCTTCTGGTGTAAACCACTTAATAAAAATAACAAACTATAAAAAAAGTGTTTTTAAATCTGAAAGTATGTATTCAGTCTTTTTTATTGCATGTATTGAGATTGTGCAAGATACCTGATGGAAAGATTTGAAGTTTGTCCCCAAAAAAATATTTATTATACAAAACGAGCAGTTTTGGGTGATGTCCTACTGCTTCAAACTCTAAATTGAAATTTGTATCCAGCTGTCGTCTTTACCCTAGTTTGTATTGCTTTTCTATGTTTAAAAGAAGATATCATATGGTATGCACAAAAGAGGTGATGTGAAAAACAGCCCGTTTTCTTACATGTAGCCTTAAACAATGGGCCATGTACATCAGAACCTTCAATAATCATTGTTTTGGTTAATAGTAAATATGCTTTACAATTAATGGTAATGTGCATACATGAATGTGCATTACATTTTTTACCCTTAGTTCTATGTTTTCAAGAAGATGGGTTTTTTTAATACTAAACTAGGCATAAGCAGATGCAAGCATATTGCCCCTGAAGCTCAACCTTGTATGTTATTATAATTAATTATGCCAAACAGGAGCACATTTAGATATATTTCAACTCTTAATCTGGGCCTGTGACACCAGGAGACCTACACTTGGTTGTCTTAAGGCTGATGTGGAAATGCATTAATGCTAAGTTTCCACTAGGAATGGGGGCAAAGAAAAATACATCTCTTTTATGATATTTTTTTCATAGAAGTAGGAATAGCTCCCAGTATTTCACTGTAAACATCTCTGGGAGTAAACCTAAAAAATAGCAATGGGCACAATTTTAATAAACTACATATCTTCCACTTTCTGTAAAGTTAACTGCTGAATGTGCCTATGAGATCCCCCTTAAAATTCAGGCCCTTTGAGCTTCCTGAAGATAAGATAGGGTGATTTGTTAATGCTCTAAATTAAATGAAGGTTTAATATGATTATTAAAAGTATGAGTATGCAAGAAGAATGTGTCTCTGATCCTATCCTGTCAATGTTCATGGAGTGCCACTCGTCCTCAAAATCTAACACCAATTTGGTGGATCGAAAAATAAAAATCATATACTGTATACCAGTTGTGACACTATTTGCAAATCTTGAAATGTGGAACCTATAGGTCATTTAACCAATAGATTGACTTTGTTCCCTCCCTGACTTCCTGCAAAACAAATACAATGGGTTTGTATATAATTGTTCTATTATTTTGATCAAAAAGTTTAATAAATTTTAAATGTTTACCTGAATTTGTACTGTGTACTTTAAAACTCAATGTTTTTTCCCCCTAAATTTGCATTAAATGCCTTTGAAATATATATATTTAATATTCATTGTGCAGTGCTGTGCTAGTTGATAGCAGGTAGTGGTCAAGAATAAGTTAATTTGATTCTTTCTAGACCTGGTTCTCATTTGTATTTTGCATGGAAATGCAGAGATTCTACTTTTTCCTCTTGTACTCTTGATTTTAAATCCTATTTTTAACATTTTTACGTAATTATGCATATGAAACGTATTCCATCCTACCAAAGATCATACGTTTACAAGGTTGATACTGTTTATATCCTATTGTTAATTATAAATTAGCAAATCAAAACTTCAGACATGTTAATGTTTTCAGTCTGAATGACTCCATCAATTTCTTCTATAGACAGCAATATTTAAAGGAGTTCAGTGGATTAAAATTAAGCATTTACTATTGTATTGCAACCATCCTTTTCTTAAAGAAAGGCCTTTTTTCACATTGTGTAAAACAGCAGGTATTGCTGACTTCTGCATGTCTGATTGGATTAATTTTAACTATCTGGAGCCTCATTATTTATGATACATTTTCTGCTCATTCATAGCCTATAGAGAGTTCGTGCTGCTTCGCCTGATTCTAAGTTTCAATTTATGTTCCCAAAAATTAAATAAGGAATTGGATACTCTATAAAGCAAAATATCATATTTTTACCATCAACCCCCACCATCACTTTATCAGTGAGATAGGTGGCATATATATTTAATCAATACAAATAAAACTATAGGGCTATAGATGTTTTTAAGTGAAAAATCGGGACTTTCAATGTGTATTCCACTTACTAGGGAAAAAAATTGGTAAAAGTATCTGGTGAGAGATGCAACAAACATCTTTTGTTTGTTAGAGGGTTTTATTACTGGTTGCTGCTAACTATTTTGACACAGGGCTGTCTCTTGTCAGGCAATCATAAGTACATTTAAAAACTCTAAAAATTCAAAATGGATATATTCGTTTGCTTATGCTTCAGCCTTTTATTTTCTAAGGTGGGCACATCTGACTTCAATTTCCAAAGAGGACATTTGAAAATAACCCCAGAATAACATTTATTTAGTTTCATCATACATTAGTGCACTAGAGAATTCAAAAGAAACATAAAGGTTTACTCACTCCCTTTATTGTTTTAGCACAATAGCAACAAAAACATGGACATTTGATGCACTATTTCACAGCTTACTGATTTGATAAAAAGCTGGAAAATAACCATTTTACATACTCACCATTTATCTGACGATAGTCAGTAGTGACATTGTCATACAACCATTGTACACGCTTTGATTCATTGAAAAAAAAGTAAAATCAGTATAAATGTGATCACACGGTAGCTAATTGAAGAACAAACAATTTTTGAATAATATTGGCTAGTTTACTAGATCAAGGCAAAGCCCCATTTCTATGATGGCTTCCAGTAAATGAAGATTAAAAAGAACCAAGTTTTTCTCTTCAGATGATGGGTATTTATTTAATTTGCAATCACCAAGTCTACTAAACTATGGTCTTAAAAATAACCAACTGGTCTCTGAACCCGTTAAGTCAACCCATCTACACAGCTATTTATTTGAGTCTCTGTGTCTTTTTTTCCAATCAAAGTGAATAAAGAATCTGTTCAAGACAAACCTTATAAAACCTGTGGTGCTTCCACCTAGATAAATATATAGCAGCTATATTAACGGTAAAATGAAGCCAAGTTATTCAGCTGATCAAATAGCATTTACTGCAAATGATGCAAGCTTGTGAAAGCTGGGTGGACTTCATTTCCCAGAATTCCCCAGCCAGCCATGCATTCTGGAAATTGAAGTACACACATTTAAAGTTGCCAAAGTTGAGAACCATTGCAATAGGATGATGATCTGAGGGGCACTGTATCAGTTATTCATTCCAGTTCTAACTCAAGCATAAAATAAATCACATGCCAAATAAGATCAAAATTGGTGTAAGAAAAAAAATTATACCGATATTACAGAAACACAATATAGGTAGATCCTAATCATACCCGTTCCAGGCATCCTGCACCCCTCCCCCCCCAAAGAGCAAAACAAACTTTAATTAGGGAGTCTATAATGGTAGAATATTCAAGGAGTCAAAAAAAAAAAAAATACAGCAGCTACCATTGCATGACTGAAATCCCACTTCCTTAACCCACAGCAGATAAAAAGGGGGTGGGACTTCGTTTTCACGGGTAGCAAAGCAGCTGCCATCTTGGCTTTTTAACTGATATTCTACCCCCTCCCGCACTTTGCTACAGGAAGGTTTAGAGACTAGCTATGAAAGTACTTAATCAAGCCAGCCTTTTTCCAATGCTATGCATGCTGTAACCCAGAGGCTGCCTTCACACATAAAGCTAAGGCAATTTTGTTTTTAAATGCTTTATTGAACAAGTTGTACTGTCTGGTTTATACATCATGTTAAATCCTAAGCGAATTCTCATCCTTTATTGTAACCTATGAACAATAAGACCTTTAACTAAAAGTAACAGAGGCTACAGTGCATTGTTTTCGTTTATGTACGAGTAAATCTCAAGATTTACTACACTAGAAGCCAGGCAACGAAAATGTATAACGAGAGGCCTTAAAACTATGCCAGCTCAATGCTGAGCTTGCAGGTTTAACTGTGGCCTTTGCTCATAGCTTTCAGCATAAGGATATTCTCCCGTAAAATATAATTTTCTTTTAGGGATTATTGAAACAAAGTCCAGAACCTAGCATAGGCCCTGTTCATTTAGTCCTCAATTTTTGTAGCCCGCAAGGAATGGGGAAGCCTGGCTGGCCCACACCACCGCTCATATTTTGCAAACCCTCCTTATGAATAGAACATGGAAATCATAGAAGACATTTTTCAGACTAGAAATATATCTTCCTTTTCTGCCAGATAACTATGATTCAATGCTGAACATGTGGAAAGAATGCGTGGATAACGTCAGACATCTAGGCCGTGTCATTTTGCTCGTTGTGTTTCCATTCTATATAACAGGGATCTGGCCTGCTGCACATTTAGAATAAAAACACAGCAATGTGCAGGAGAGGAAAAAAGCCATGCTCTCTCTCTATTCCCAGTTCCTTGCACATCTACATCAGAAAAAAAGAAGGAAAAACCAACATGGAAAAGGTAACATGGCAAAGCAGCACCTGACAAATGGCTATTTCTTCGGTAACTGCCATCATTCACCCTGAGTAAATTCCTATGTATTCACACAGACCAGACCAATGGCTAACAGCTACAGCATTTGTGATTAAAAAGGCAGACCCAGCTACCCCATATGACTCTTTGGTGATGACTTAGGACAGTGATGGCTAACCTTTTTGCCGTTGTGTGCCAAAAGTGGGGGGAGCACGGGGTCGCGTGTGTGTGTGCCCACACCCATAATTCAATGCCCCCCGCCCCCCTGCACATGCATGCACGACCCCCCATGCTCCTCCCACTTTTGGCACGTGATGACACTGTGGGCCCGGTAGATCCATTTTTCACCCTCCCGAGGCTCCAGAGGCTTTCTTGGAGCCTGGGGAGGGCAAAAACAGCCTTCCCCACCCACCCGGAGGCCTTCCGAAGGCCAGAAACGGCCCATTTCCCAACTTCCAGTGGGCCCGGAAGGCCCATTTTTCACGCTCTCCAGGCTCCAGAGGCTTTCTAGGAGCCTGGGGAGGGCAAAAACAGCCTCCCCCCCCGGAGGCCCTCCAGAGTGGGCCCAGAAGGCCCAAAAATCAGCTGGCCGGCACGTGCATGCACGCTGGAGCTGAGCTAGGACAACGCTCGTGTGCCCATAAATATGGCTCCACGTGCCACCTGTGGCACGCATGCCATAAGTTCCCCATCATGGACTTACGACATTAAGCAATGCCTTGCAAGTCAGAGACGAGAGATTTCTGTTCATCAGCCAAGAGGGGAAAATGAAATGGCTAATGCTATTTTCCCACAAGGAACTTCTTGGAAGAAATTCCTCAGCCTTTTTTTCTTACAAGTTTTCTAACCACACAATTTTGGGCTGACTTTGAGAAAAATCAGATTATGTATTACTAAACCATTGTCCCAACAGCTGCATACAAACTTTCGCTGGAAACAGAAAGAAAAGGTTCCATATTAAGACATACACATATCAAAACACTCTGCACTGATTCGTGTTTATATTTCAAAGCGTCTCAGTAATTCATTTCATCTCAAGAAGCAAAAGTGTACTCTTAAGAAATGTAAGGCCATTCTACTTTTGTTGACCATAACTTTCTTTTTTAAAAAAAATTACAGTGGTGTCTTATTCACAACTAATCATTACGAGTCTTTTCACAACTGGACAAAAACAAATCGTATATCCTTCCCAGATGTTCAGAGTTCACAGAATATTTTTGTTTTGTTTTGTTTTTTTTTGCTACACTGTTCATTCTTGCAATAATAGCAACAAAGAAAAATCTTCAAGCAGGGATAATGAAATGTGGGCCACTGCACATGCTGAACAATATCTCCCAATATCCTTTGCTACTGGCCCAAAGTTGGCACCTCCTGGAAGTTCTGGTTCCCCACTCCTGATCTAAGCTACACTATATTAAATCGTGCAAACAGGAATTTATATATAAGAGCAGTTGGGTAGTTGGGTAGTCTTCTTTTCCTTTTGCAAGAGCCCTTTACGCAATAAAACATATATCGCCATATTATAATTATACATTTGGAAGTTTCTTCTGTTCGGTTCACCACTTTATAATGCCTGGATGAAGTTTGTCATGATTTGCAAAAGAGATGAATTCATTTCTTTTTACAAGGAGTTGCTGGAAGCTGTGATTGTCAACCGTTTTCCAATATAAATCCTGAAACACAAAAACAACCAGTAAGAGTTCTGCTGAATTTGAACTGCAGTTGCATTTTCAACCTCACCTCTTTTCTTGTGAATGTAAAGTCAGTTATAGACACAAATCACTCAAAAATAGAATACATCAGTGTTTTTTTCAATGTTGGTAGCTTTAAGATGTGTGGACTTCAACTATCAGAACTGCCCAGCCGGCATTCCCAGATTCTAGATGTTATTTTCAAACATAATTGTTCAAAAATTTCCTTGACTTACATTAGAAGCATAATATAAAAATCTGTATCAGTCCAGGTGATACTAAAGGTAATCCTTGACTTATGACTGATCACTTAGTGATCATTCAAAGGTATGGTAGATTCCCCCAAAAGGTACATATGACTCGGTTTGGAAGTTCTGATGGCTTCAGTCACATGATCCTATTTTGGATGCTTGGTCCCCGGCCTGCATTTACAGCCATTTGCAGTGCCTAGTGGTCACATCCCTGCAATGTATGGTTTTTTACAGAAACCAGCATTTCTTTCGGTTTCCAGCAAAAAATGTCCCTTCGGTACAATGGGTTTGCTTAATGACCGCCACAACCATTGCATTTGTTAGCGATTGTGATGTCCATTTAACAACCGCAGCAAAAAAGATCATAAAATCAGGCATGGTCACATGGTGACTCGCTCAGCGACCAGCATGACTTCCAACTATAGTTCCAGGTGCAATTATATTTGTAAGTTGAGGATTACCTGTATTGAAACATGTTTTCCACTGATTTCACATCCATTTCTATAATCTATCTATCACAGGCTCATTCCATAAACTTGTAGTTTAATTATGAACAAATTAGATTGTTTCATAAACCTGAGAATTTATGAGTAACCACTTTTGACCTGTTTGCAAAACTGCAACAGTGTATAACATAATGGGAAAAAGAACCCCAATGATTGATATTATAAACAATAGCAGGTATACTTGTGAAGTTGTACAATGCAGAAAATGATGTGATTGATATCTGAGAGGAGTCACTAGGAAGACTTTGAATCAGTGGTGAAATGTAAAATTTGTTACTACCGGTTCTGTGGGCGTGGCTTGGTGTGTGGGGGGGTTAATATGACTGAGTGGGCGTGGCCAGCTTTTTTTTTTGTTGTAAAAAAAATGCTTTTAAAGCCTCTGATGATCCCAGCTGACTTGCCTGATTGGAAGAGGCTTTTTTTTCCTTTTAAAAACATTTTTTCTATAACCTCTTCGGCGGAAGAAGTTGTAGAAAAAATGCTTTTAAAAGCCTCTGATGATCCCAGCTGAGCCGCGGGATCATCAGAGGCTTTTTTTTTTACTTTTAAAAGCATTTTTTCAGCCAAAGAGGTTGTAGAAAAAAAATGCTTTTAAAAATAAAAAAAAAGCCTCATCAGAGGCTTGCGTGGCTCAGCTGGGCAATGTGGGGGGGGAGGGATTTTTGCTACCGGTTCTCCGAACCACCTGCCTCCATCGCTACCGGATTGTGCGATCCGGTCCGAACCGGGAGCATTTCACCCCTGCTCTGAGTGGATTCTCATCACACTTGAAGCTATAATGTAGTTAGGTTTTTAGGATTTAAGATTATTTGTACATATGGACTACGTATGCAAAGCAGGGTGTGGATTAGCTGCCACCTAAATAATTTCTACACATTAACATTTATAAAAGCAGGGTGTTCTTATAAAATACTTTTTAAAAAAAGCAGAAGGCAATATGCTGCACAATTATAAGACCAATATGTGGTCTTCTCAGAAGCAGGCACCTGATGCCATTCGGATGTTGAGTACAATTCCCAGCGTCCTTCATCATTACCTTGGCTTCCTATGAATGCATGAAGTTGCATTTCAGCAACATCTGGATTACCATCAATGGCCTAAACTGGATTCCCCTCTTTTGGTAAATTTCTGTAAATTTACCAAAATTCTCATTCTGTAAATTACGAAATTTTAGTGACTGAACTCCCAAATGACATCTTGGCATTTGTGAACCCACCTCAAGTTTTCCAGGATTGTGAGCAGCAGCTTTTTCAATCCTACCTGTAATGGTCAGGGAGTGAATACCACACCTTTTGCATCTAAGGAACGTGTTATGCTAGTGAACAGTGGTCTCTCCCTCTCTCTGATAGTCCTCTGAGGAGTCCAGAAGATCTTATTGATGCAGCCCACTAGATTTCTAGCTGTCAGAATATATGATCTAAATGAATCCTTACCCTAATCCAATGGCGAGCAGATGGGAGAGCAACAGAGATGGCAAGAAAATCTTCAAGAATTCTGCAGAAAATATGCCTCCCTTCTTCATGACACTTGTGTTTCTCATGCTGAGTGTACCTGCGCGCTTAGGGTGTTTAAAGAGAAATTCCCTGGTTTATGAGAAGACAAAAACATTTTTAATCCATAATTGTTTATGATCCCATTTATATATTTATAATAATGGAAATAAACAAATCTGCATTGTTCATTATCAAGATCACTCACTTGGGGGGAATATTCTCAGGCCTACTCGACCAGTCCCACATCCAATCTGAATTTTTCTTCAGAAGCCGTTCAACTTCTTTCCTTCTTTCCAGAAAATCTTCTTCAGACTAAAAGGAAGATAGGAACAATAAAGTGACCTGGGTCCATTTTCAGAATAGAGGTAAGGAAGTGGATCCACGATAGGCAACCTCACTGTACCATTTGGCTGCTCCTTAAAGGCATTGTGGCTTTTCCTGAAGTTTCATAGTAGTAATACAAGTCCAAGTTCATAGGTTGAGTGAAGGCGATATTAAAGAGGTACAAAGTCTCAGAAGAGATGCAGCTTGAGAAGCTGCAAATAGATAATAATGAGAGTGCCACATGGATTCATCCATCCATCCATCCATCATCTATCTATATTCTATCATCTATCTATCTATCATCTATCTATTATTTATCATCTATCATCTATCTTTCTATCATCTATCTTTCATCTATCTATCTTTCAATCATCTATCTTTATCTGATCTCTTTATCTCTCTATTTTTCTTAACTGCCCATTTCACTCAGAGAGGGGCTCCGGGCAGTACAGAGACCCTCTCTGTACTGCCACTCATCCATACAATGAGCTCACATTTTCTGTTAAATCATCAGGAATTTGGAAGCCAGCTTTCACAATCTGACAGTACTCTACTGCTCTATAATATCCAAATCAAGCCAAGCTAACTCAACCAAATCTGAAGTTGGATGAGGCCGGATCCTGACAAGAGAGATTCTCTGGTGTCTGAATAAGGTAAACTATTCTCACAACTGAGAAATAGCAAAATCCTTACAAAGCCACCTCACAAGTGGAAAAGTTTTTCCAGCATGAAAGATTCCTTGTTAAAGAGGATCAATTGACTTCCTACATGCTATCTAACTGGATCTCTGATAGCAACAGAAATACTGCAGAGAAGCTCAAAGCAAATTATCAAAAGCAAATTTTACTTAGCTGGAGTTACATGCTTGGAACAAATAAAGCTCCAGCAGCTGCATTTTCCTTCAAGTAGCATTAGTGTGTAGATAGTTTCCAATATGACTGTGTCATTCATGCAGTGATTTTCCAAACCATGTGCCAAAACTGAAATGGGTCTGCTAAAAAACTACAAAGCACATTTCCCAGCTATAAATGAGACTCTGCAGAAAATACAATCTCCAGGAAGAAGGGATTTTCTTCTCTTTAAGAAAAACACTATACACACACAAAAAATCAATTTTTATTTGAGTGTCTTTGTGAGCAGATAGACTTTACCTGAGAACTATTCTTTTCTCCGCTGGCACGACTCTCCACTTCTGAAGTTCTGTGAACATCCTGAGGTGTCTGGGAACGTGGTGGGCTTTGGGGGTGGGGTGGGGAAGAAAAGTGAGAATAACCAACCAAGAACAAGATTTACTGATTCATGTTTTATCAGGACCATGGAAAGATAACTTCAAATCCCAATAAAGTTTACAAGGTACTTAAGATCTTGCAGTCTAGCCTGCCTTTTTATTGTGATAAGAACAGAAACAGGAATAAGTATGTTAAGCATTCTGGAGCACCTTGGTAAAAGGGACAGATTTTTTTTTTTTTTTTAAAAAGGGACATCTTCCCAAGGTAAAGATGGAACCAGCAATTCTGGCTTTGTGAAAAAGCAGTAGCTTCTTCCCAAAATTTTTAGTGGGTTCAACTTATGTAAAGAGAGTCTGAGTGAGCAAATGCCACAAGTGGATTAGTACTTGCTTATTTCTTTCATAAACAAAGTCATCCAAAATGCAAATAATAATAATAATAATTAGTATTTACTTGTTCCTGGAATCCCTCATACTGTCAATTGAGAGTAGGTAGCTCCTAATGTCATCAGCACTAATAAATACATAAAAAAGACTTAAACTTTCCCTTCAGAGTTATCAGCCCTGTTACAAAATAATCCTGTTTTGACTTTAAATGCATCTTACCGGTAATTTACATGTAACTTTCATATATAAAAAGGTACTTCTGTTAAATTTAGTCTGGTCCAGTTCTCTAATCCTGAATATATCAACCTTTTCATGGCTGTGTGTTTGCAAAACACACTGACTGAACCACAAACTAGCTAATCACCTTTAAGCCTAATACACTGTGGAAATTCAATCCCTGTGGTTATTTATGGTTCCAGGTGTTGAGCAATCCCACTGCACTCAATTAACTTACACCATAGTTCAATTAACCATGGATAAGTATCTTGCCCAATGGCAGATAAGTGGTCAGGTACATCACCACTACTGTTTATAGTGGTTGTGTGATTAAAACTATGCTTTTACTCACAAGCTTTGGAATGCAAAGAGCCGTTTATCTGGGCGTCCTCTTTTTGTTAATTTATTTAAAGTATTTTTATGTGGCCATAAAGGCATCCAAAGCAACTCATGATTGACAGGCTCTGTCGTCAGGAATACACTTTAAAAGATACTCCAGAGAAAGAAAGAAGAAGAAATGCAATCTAAGTTTAAGGAATGCAGCACCAGTATTCTTACCACAATCAACTGGGATTTTAAAAACTATATATAATAGCTTGGAGCAGTGTTTCTAAACCTCAACAACTTTAAGATGTGTGGACTTCAACTTCCAGAATTTCTCAGTCACCATGTTTGAAGTTTACATATCTTAAAATTGCTGAGGTTGCAAACCATTGGCCTAGGGAAATGTAGCTGGCTAGGTGTCAGTTAGGATAAAGTCAATGGGTAAACATTTCAAAGACTACTTCACCTTTACCCAATGGATAATGCTATTTCTCATCTTCCACCTTATTAAGTATTGAGGACCCTTCCACAACTGCAATCTCTCTAACCTTTCAATCATTCACCAAGCAACATGCAATGGCTTGCAATCATCTTTACTTCTACTGAATCTTAAAACACAGAAAATATCATAAGCCAATCAGACTCCATCTCCTCCCATCCGATGGACCGGTGAAAGAATATAAAGAATATAATCCATCAATATCCATTCTCCCAGCTACGGTCCCATTATCCCCATTCCTGATGATGGGAGCACAGGTAGTCCTCATTTAGCAACCAAAGTTGGTACCAGAAATTCAGTCATTAAGTGAAGCAGTCGCCAACATGACTGTGCTTATGATCTTACTTCAATTTTATTTTGTTTTGCAGACCTACAAAGGTCATAAATGTGAGGATTGGCCACCAAGGTTCATCATCGTCATAACTGAATGGTGGCTGTACAAGATAGTTGCTAAATGAGAACAACCTGTAACAAAAGAAGTCCCCATTGCAGTCTCCATACAAAACGAAAATAAAATTGCAAAGATACCCATCCTGTTGGCATTTCTAACTACAAGCATTTCTATGTGTATGCCAAATAAATTTGTAGAAAAATATCAGAAAAGTTGCTATGATGGAGGTATAAAGGAGGTATAAAGGAGGTATAAAAAAATATGGGAAACCTCCAAAGGTTCTTAAACCATTGTACCACCGTTCCTCTGTTAAGGTTAACATTCCCTAGCAGTTGTGAAGTCAAAATGAAAGCATAGGAAGAAGTTTTGCAACTTGGTATTTTTCTGGATAAGCATGGCCATAGTGCAGAAGTCTTCAAACTTGGCAGCTTTAAGACTTGTGGACTTCAACTCCCATAGCTGGCTGGAGAATTCTGGGAGTTGAAGTCCACAAGTCTTAAAGCTGCCAAGTTGGAAGACCTCTGCCATAGTGTATGGGCTGGATTGTGGTGGAGGCAGATTAGTTCTAACTAATTTGTGCAGGAAGACAGAACTTCTAGGAACATGAGGCTGACCCTCTTTGATGGGACTAGAGATGAGAGTAAAAACTGGTTGGAGCTCAGGAAATGGAACAAGACTCAAATTCCTATGAACGCTCACAAAGGCCCCCAAAGGTACAAAAATTCAAAGCACAGATTTTCCCAAAATAAGCTTTCTCCAGAATTTTTGCTCAAAAACCAACAACATCTCCAAGTTAATCAGGTCTGGTCCCAAAGTGGCATACAGCCCTAATCTAACAATTTGCTTAGTTTCACAATGAAAGATCACTTAGTTCTCCCAAGCCATGCCTCCCGTTAGCTAGCTTTGGAATGTCTCACTTAATAGACGATCCCAGTTTTGTTTAAATAAAAAGCTGAACTTGAAAAAGAAAAAAAAAAAAAAGAATGGATCACACCATGAGAGCAAGATGACCTTGCTTCCAATCAGGAGAAAGGCCATCAGCTGCAAAGCCAGGAACAATTGCATCATCCTTATCCTTATCAGACTTGTAATATAACTATTTAGAACACTTTCACCCAGACAAATCAAAACAAAACAAAACATATGTTAGCTTTGCTTAAATTAGGTCCCACTGCTTTCAAGAATCTAAAGAGGCCAAGCTCTAATGTCAGACCATACATTCACTTCCCCAACCCCAGTACCTTTCCATTTTTTTTAGACTACAACTCCCATTATCCTTGATAACACTCATGGAGAAGCGTTGCCTATGGCTGGTAAAAACACAGTTGAAATATCTGAAAGTCAGCCAGAAGGTGAAGGTAGTCCTCAACTTACAACAGTCCATTTAGTGACCGTTTAAAGTTACAATGGCACTGAAAAAAATGACTTATGACTGTTTTTCACACATGACCATTGCAGCATCCCTGACCAAAATTCAGACACTTGGCAACTGACTCGTATTGATGATGTCTGCAGTGTCCTGGGATCATGTGATTACCTTTTGCGGCCTTCTGGCAAGCAAAGTCAATGGGGAAGCCAGATTCACTTAACAACCGTGTTACTAACTTAACAGCTGCACTGATTCACTTAACAGTGGCAAGAAAGGTCGTAAAATGGGTCAAAACTCATTTAACAAGTTTCTCCCTTAGCGGCCGAAATTTTAGGGTCAATTGTGGGCGTAAATCAAGGACTACCTGTACCCTTCAGCTGAAATAAGAGGAAATGCATTGTGAGCAGCCTGTGCTGCCTCGGAGTGTGTCAGAGTACCTGTCGCAGTGAGAGCTCTCTCGCGAGCTACTTCTTCCAGACTCATGCTGGGCATCTAGAAGGATTTTCTCCATGTCACCATTATAAATAGAAACTGAAGCAGGAACTTGTTCCTGGCTGGCTGGCTGGCCACTGTTACCGTTCCCATTGCTGCTAAAGTGCAGTTCTACCCAGGAACCTGCTTGGTAAACATTGAGAAAGAACAAAAACCACAAGGATTTATTAGGAAACCAAGCACTTTCGTTTGTTGACATTCTACTTCAAGTCCGACTTCACGGTCTCCTTTGCTTGCATTTTTAGGAGGTACAAAGAATACCCAGATTAGTGCCTGTTAATAATAAAACTCTTGTTGCAATGGCAATGATGTATGGGGTCCCCTTCCCCACCTCCCAGCAGCGCATAAGTATTTTATATCTATCTTGTGCATGCTGTATTGCCCAGAACAAAAGCTGTGCTTCTATATTTATTATACAAGCACTCTAATGGCTATATGGTATAAAAGGTTTTTTTTAAAAGATTTTTTAACCTGCCTTTATTACTTTTATAAATAACTCGAAGGGGGGGTGAACATATCTAAAGCTCTTTCCCTCTATTTTCCCCACAACAAAAACCCAGTGAGGCGAAAGGGACTGACTGGCCCAAGGTCACTCATGTGGGATTAGAACTCACAAATCTCCTGGTTTCTAGCCTGGTGCCTTAATCAGTAGACCAAACTATAACTCTGCAAAATAAACAGGTGCTCGTTTTAATGTACAGCAAGCTGATTTTCCAAGATGCAACCATTCTCATTTTTAATCTTTTCAAGTTTACTTAAAATGCTTATGCGTTTTAAAAAAGTGTGATGCAGTCCACAAATAAAAACTTGTAACCATAACAGACTGATCTTAATTATCATCGGGAACAGTAATTGGCTATACCACTAGTAGAAAAATCTGTAAGGAACAGATCAGTCTTTAGTTGCTGGAAACATAACAAACTGGAATCCACATGATTTAAATGACAATAAGCTAATTTTAAGATAAGTGGAAAATGGGCTTTGTGGAACTATAATTAAATGATGTAAGAGAACTGAACTATCAGAAAACATTCTTACATCCAAACATCTGTCTTCCTTATTCTTTGATGGACAGCTTTCTGCCCCAAATGTGTATTTTACAGTTCTGTTCATTGGCCTATTTCTATGGATTGCAATTCTCAGGATGCTCAGGAACAGAAGGTGAAAACAGGAAGTCAAATTGGCAGAAAGAAAGGAGAGAGAATCTGCTGACAGGAAACAGACAGTATGGAGCATCTTTGTTATCACATCTTAAGATATAGATTGCATTCACACAACATATCCCATTTAAGTTTCTGCAGAACATTACCCAAAGAAATTCCTCCCCTAGGCCAACCTGAAAAATAAACAGTCTAAGCCTTGTGAAACATTCCCTCACAAAACTAAACTGACATTATAAAAAGCTACAGTAGCTCTTGCTCACAAGGCCTAGGCAAATAAAAGCTCTCCAGTACTTTGATCTGAATGTGGCAGGCTGCGAATTAACAGACAATGCTTTTCACTGGCATAATTTCATTTTGAGAAAAGCCACTGCCGCTGAATTTCTCTTCCAGCCTATTTTTGGAGTCTTAGGAGGAATTAGCTAACGAAACTGCAAGAGAGGAGAATGGAAGTCAAGTATATTTATCCAGTTAACTTGGAATAAGGAAATTGGAAAAGAGGATAATATATCCTCTTGGTATAAGAGCATTCGTTAAAAAAGAAATCATCCTTAAAAGCCAGATTGGTGTCTTATCTACTCTGTACACCAAAAAAACAAGGCTAAGAAACTGCATACTTCACAAAATATAAAGTGGTAAAAAGTACTAGATTTTACATCTTATATAAACTCTGCATGTATAATTAATGTATTCTCTCATTTAAGTTTCTCTGGAGAATATACATTTGCTTCTATAGTCCTAACTGTCCAGTAGCAAAGATTCTATTTAAATTTCTTTTAGTGGGAAGGGAGGGTGACATTGTGTGGTTGTATTATATCTAGTGTGCATGTATACTAAGGGATGAAGTGTCCTTCCTGTGGAATATACATCAACCTATCAACACATTGTACCTGCCTATTCAAAAGTTCCAACCAAAATCAATTAGAATGATTCCCAAGGAAGTTTTTGTATCAAGTAACAGTAAGCAACACCAAATATTTGGAAAGCTCAAGGAAACATTTACTGAACTTCTCTTAAATTGGACAAAATACTGATACTTTCCTTCACGAACAATGGCAATGAAACATGAAAACAATAATTCTGTGCTCACTTTTCCTTTGGGCACATTATGTGACCAAACCCAGGAAAAGTTAAGCAATAACATTTGATTATTTGATTACAAACATAATCTAAAAATGGAGAAAAGTTCCTTTTATGTTGCAATCTACTTCCAAGTTTTTCTACACGGGGCTATAAATCCCATGATGTCAGCTCTGAACCAGCACCATGTGTCAATAATTTCCAAGGCCAATTATTTACAACGATAAAAGCTATTAGTAAAGGGCTGAGTCACATAGGCAAGGATACTATAGCACACAGCCACAGCTACTAAATTACAACCACAGATCTGCCTTTTCTCCCCTTCCAATAAACATGGGCTATTTTAAAACCATCCTCCCTTGTTGGTTCTGAGCCTGCCAAGGTAAAAGCCAACTCAATGGCAAGAAAAAGTCAGAAGTAGACAAAAATCTAGAGTTTGATAGCCCTAAAAAACACAGGAAACCCTGAATGGCACAAAAGTAACACCAGGCCGTTCAGTATTTCCTCATCCTTTGTTTCTTCTGCCCTCCAGAAATAATTCTAGGGAAATTTTAATTACAGGTAGTCCTCGACTTACGACCACAACTGAGCCCAAAATTTCTGCTGCCAAGTGAAACATTTGTTAAGTGAGTTTTGCCCCATTTTACGACTTTTCTTGCCGTTTGTTAACTAATCGCTGCAGTTGGTCTATTAGTGCCATGGTCCGTTCAGTGCATCTGGTTTCCCCCATTGACTTTGCTCGCCAAAAGGTTGCCAAAGAAGGAAAGCGCATGATCCCGGGACATGGCCACCGTCCTAAATACGAGTCAGTTGTCAAAGCATCCAAATCTAAATCACGTGAACCATGGGGAGGCTGCAACGGTCGTAAGTGTGAAAACGGTCACAAGTCCCTTTTTTTTCAGTGCCGTCGCTAACTTTGAACGGTCACTAAACGAGAGGTTGTAAATCGAGGATCACCTGTCCTAGAGGGAATTTTAATATTAATCCCAAAGTGGGGGGGGCGTGTTTAAAAACAAGGTGATCTAGGAAGCCTTGTTTCTAATCAGGAAAGTATAATTTAAGAGGCCCCTTCTATGAAAGGCCCAGTATTTAAAGGAGTCCAAGTTTTTTCTTCTCTTATATTTCCACCATCTGCTGTGTGTTTTAAAGGAAGGGAAGGTCTCTTACCCTGCAGATTCTCTTCTTGCACCCCCGAGGGCTCACCCGAGGCCATCGCTGGGGGGACAGAGGAGTTTCTATTTCGGGGTCTCTCCTGAGTTGCTACCTGGGTTGTTCCTCTTCGGCTCCGAACAGCAGCGAGCGCTACCTCCCGACACGCGACGGGCTGTTTTGACGGCTGGCACCGCTCAAGGCTCCCGCTCGGCCGCTCGGCTCCGGGGATCGATCCCCGCCTGCTATTGTTATTGTTGTCGCCGCTGCAGGTTATAGGGATTGTGACGTCAAAAAAGAACGGGACGACCCGATTGGCTGTCGAAACCAATCTTCGGCACGCCCTCCCTACTCTTCTCCCCTCTCCTCCCCACTTCGCTGAAAGCCAACCCGTGGTGGGCGGGAGGACTCAGTTAAAAAAACAAAGAAGCGCCCGCCCGCCGTGTTGTTAAGCGTCTTCTCGCTTTCTGCCGGATTGGCCGAAGTGGGTTGGCAAAGGGGCGGGATTGGTCGATTGGGGGAGGGGGCGGTAGGTTAGCCGTTCTCGATTGGACGAAGGCTGAAGGATCCCGCCTCGGCTTCTGGTTAAAACTTTTAAGGTGCGCTGAGGATTTGGTGTTCCACATCTTACTCCCCGCGATCTGTTCTTCTCGGGCGGGCCCCCAGCCTATGTTGTTTACCCGTTTTGGCTCTCGGGGAACATTAACTCTTTGTGAGCGGAGGTTTCGCTTCCCCCTCGCGCTGGGGGGCGTGGGGGGCGGAGGGCGGTGATTGACAGGCCAAGCAGAGTTTGGCCTGATCCAATATCTTTTGGCCGCGCGATTGAGCATCTAAATTTGGATAATTGGAAGATTTATGTTCATATTGATTAATATACAAAAAAAAAAAAGAATAGTTATATAATTAACTGATTTATAATAAAATGTTGGATTTCTATTAAACAACTATAACGTTACATAACTAACTAATGTAAGGATAGATATAAAAATAGATGACAACGGGAAGGGGTATAAATATAGATAGAAGGGAAAAATTAAATTTGATTATGATTAAGATATTAGAGATGAGAATGAAGGGTAATATTGGTTCTTTAAAAAAATAGCTAAGGAATACATATGGCAAAAAGGAAATGACTAAACATTGTTTAAATTTGTGAACCGGCTAAATACTCTGTTCAAAGAAAATACATTGTATGTTTGTATGTGTGTTTGTCTAAAAAATTTTTAAAAACATATGTGTGTGTGTGTTTAAAATTTATGCTCCTTTATATATATATATCTACGAAAATCTACGAAAACATGTATGTATGTATGTATGTATGTATGTATGTATGTATTTCTCTTTAGCCAGGTTCTTCCTACGTAAACCAAGATTTTTATGCAGCCCTAGTTCAGTGAAATCCCAATCCACTAGTTTCTAGGCTTTATTATTTATTTATTTATTTATTTATTTATTTATTTATTTATTTATTATTTATTTATTTATTTATTTATTATTTTTTATTTTATTTTATTATTTTATTTTATTTATTTTTATTTCTAAAGAGAAATACACATAAAGGCCTATGAAAAGAAAAGAAAACAAATACTGTACCTTTACAGGGAGGATACATGGGATGAAGGAGTGGCTAACTGATGAGGGCTTATATATATATATATATGGAGCATCTAAATTTGGGGTCTGCTCTAGTATTTGCGGATAGGGTGTACCGGTCATTTCTCCGATTGCCTTAGGTGGGGGGTCTCCAACCTTGGCAACTTTAAAACTCGTGGACTTCAACTCCCAGAATTTCTCAGCCAGCAAAGTTGGAGACCCCTGCCTTACGTAGAGATAGATGCTGCATTTCGGTCACAGGAACCAGACCTGGCTAGTCTAGTGAAGAGAAGGACCAGGGGAAAACATGAGAGCAGTGTTCCAAAATTTGAGGGGCTGCCACAGAGAGATGTGGGGGGACAATCTATTTTCCCCCAAGCACAGGAATAATGGATGAAAATCTAGAAATAAGGAGAATTTTTTTTCTGGCAAGTAAGAGCAATCCACCAATGGAGCAGAAGTTGCCTTCAGAAGTTGTGGGATGGAGTCTTTCAAGAAGAGACTGGAATGATGTCAGAAATGATGTAGGTCTCCTGCTTAGGTGGGGGGGGGGTTGGACTAGATGACCTACAAGGTCCCTTCCAACTCTGTTATTCTGTTATGAATGGATTGTATTTACAATTCTCCACTAAACCGAGAAAATGGATAAGGGCGTTCTTGCTAGCCCCAATTTCTTTTTCAGTTACCTTTTTTTCCCGTTCGATCGTGCATCTTTTTTTAGCATTGCTGCCTCTTTTAATTTCTACTTGGTAGGCAAGAGAAGTTGCGTCTGCCAGAGGTCTGAACGGATTGTTTGCATAGCGTTTAGAAATCAGACCAAGGTTGCACGTTGCTCACCATCAGACTAAAAATAGGTATACTAGAAATCGGTTGCGAGCAGTGGTGGAATTCAAATTTTTTTACTACCAGTTCTGTGGTCATGGCTTGGTGGTCATGGCAGGGGAAAGTTACCGCAAAATCGCCATTCCCACCCCACTCCAGGGGAAGGATACTGCAAAATCTCCATTCCCATCCCACCCCAGGGGAAGGATACTGCAAATTCCCCTTTCCCTCCTCACTCCTGGGGGAAGGATATTGCAAAATCTCCATTCCCACCCCATCTAGGGCCAGACAGAAGTGGTATTTTCCGATTCTCCGAATTACTCAAGATTTCCACTACCGGTTCTCCAGAACCTGCCGAATTTCACCCCTGGCTGCAAGTAACTACTAACAGTTACTTAAGGTCCCGTATTGACTTGCAACGCGATCTACATGGGGCTGCCCTTGAAGAGCATCCAGAAGCTCCAATTAGCATAAAATGCAGCGGCCTGCATGGTTTTGTGCAGACCTCGGTGTGCACATGTATCACCTCTCCTGTGGGAACTGCATTGGCTGCCGATTTGCTTCCGGGTGCAATTCAAGGTGCTGGTTGTCACCTTTAAAGCCCTTCATGGCTTGGGACCACGTTATCTGAGGGACCGTCTCTTGCCGGTCACATCTACCTGACCCTTCATAGCAGGGAGGCAGGGAATATTGTGGGTCCCATCTCTGAGGGAGATACACCTGGTGGGATCCAGGAGAAGGGCCTTCTCCGTGGTGGCTCCCTCTTTCTGGAACATCATTCCCCCAGAGATTAGAATGGCCCCCACTCTAACACTCTTCCAGAAGGCTCTGAAGACCTGGTTCTGCCAGCGGGCCTGGAGAACCCAGAGCGGGATGGAGCCCATTAAATGGCTCTTGGGATCTGCTGTCGCCAGGGCGGGGGATGGGTGGTGATTTTATTATATTATACTATATTAATTTATTAGTTTCTTTTTATTAGTTTTATTGTTTTAAATGTGGTTTTATATTCTGTAAGTCGCCTTGGGCGAATAGGCAGCAATATAAATTCATTCAATAAAGAATAAATAAATAAACAGCTCTGTGAAGAGATACAAAACAACTCAGATCTCAGTAATTGGCAAAATCAAAGGTCTAAAAGACATTCTGAGGATTTCCATTTCCTGGCAGTTACAATTCTGCAAAGTTGCTAAAGCCCCTAGGCTTTTCCAGGCCTTTGAAGACTAAGATAAGAGAATATACTTGCTCCATTTGTGATTAATCTCTTGGAAAAGACACTCTGGATGAGATTGTGTAGCCGTGACTTCCGTTCTCTCCGGAACATAACCAAATTCAGACTATCCCAATACCTCTTCATAATTATACAGATAGTGCTCAGTTTATGACCATAATAGACCCAGAATTACTGTTTGTTAAGCAGATCACCATGAGACTGAACCCGATTTGACGAACATTTTTTGTCATTAAGAGAATATATTTTATCCAATGAGCATTTTTTTGCCTGAAATTAAAACTAAATGCTGGAAATAGGCAAAAAGTACTGAACATTACATTGTGTAACCGCAGAATGTTGCAATGGCCATAAAGGTGGGCTGGTTTCCAAGCACCCAAAATGTGACCAGAGGATTGTTACGTGTGGGTACACAGCTGTCATAACTTTGAAATCGGATCATGAATAGCTTTTGGGAAGTCTGACATAACTTTGAACAGTTGCTAAGTGATCGGTAGTAAATGGAAGAGGACCTGTGGTTCCTCCTCCTGTTTCTTCTCCTGTTTGGGAAGAGGATGCAAAGCTGTAAGGAAAGGTCAACAGATGCCCCAAAATGCAGTTTATCACTTAAGACTTTGTTTTTCTGCAAATTTGCCATCATATAAGATAATGTTCCATGATGTGACCAAAAGAGGAGCAGAAGGGAAGATTAAAAAGATTATCCACATTAAATCTTGTGATGCCCATCCTATCAGTTTGAATTCTTACATGCAGGTATTTTAATACAGATAATCCTCTTCTTACAACAGTTTCTTTAGTGACGTTCGAAGTTATGTCACTAAAAAATGTGACTTATGACCATTTGTCACACTTAACGACCATTGCAGCATTCCCATGGTCACGTGATCAAAGTTTGGATGCTTGGCAACTGATTTGTATTTATGACGGTTGAAGTGTCCTGGGCAGGGGTGAGTTCTAAAATTTTTTACTACCGATTCTGTGGGCGTGGCTTATTTTGTGGGCGTGGTTTGATGGTCATGTGACAATTCTTTAGGATTTAGCAGAGGTATTGGTCTACCAGGCTTTTAACTGCTTGCAGAGCTGTACCGGTCTACTCATTTGTTTTTGGAGGCACTGGTCTACCCATTTATTTTTGCAGGCACCGGTCTACCACCACACTGTCTTTTAACTCTGATCAGCTATAGAGCGGCCCTTTGAAGCCCCACGGCAAGAGTTTAAACAGTCTTTTTCCTTCTAGCCGATCAGCTGGGACTCAGGAGGCAGCAATCAATTGGGGGTGGGGCCAAATAAAAGGTAAGAGTAACGTGGAGGGAGGCGGGGGGGCAGAACCGGTTTGGTGACATCATATCGTCACCACTACCGGCTCGGTTGAACCGGGCCAAACAGGGAGGAACCCACCACTGGTCCTGGGGTCATGTGATCCCCTTTTGTGACCTTCTGACAAGCAAAGTCAATGGGGAAGCCAGATTCACTTAACAACCGTGTTACTAACTTAACTGTGATGATTCACTTAACAACGGTGGCAAGAAATGTCGTAAAATGGGGCAAGACTCACTTAACAAATGTCTCACTTAGCAGCAGAAATTTTGGGCTCGATTCTGATCATAAATCAAGGACTAACTGTATGCTAAATGTCTATAGT